CAAACAACCATTCACTCTCACATTCATCAACCCACTCCCCTACTGAGCATGTTTGGGCTGCGGGAGGAAACTGGAGTAAAACACACGCACACACAGGGAGAACATGCAAACTCAAATAATCAACCAGCGATCTGTCGATTACCAACAGCTGCCACCGTGGGTCTCTGTTCCAATATCTTGCTTAGTTATCACCAAAATTAATCAATCTTTATTTTTTTTCTACAGACACACCGTTGACAGTTCACTGGTGGTTGCCAACAATGATGACTCAGCGCTTCTGTCTTCAGTTTCTCTCTTTTCTGCCTGCAAACCTCATTCTTTTGCCTAAGGACCTGGGGATATAAGCCTTTACAACCCACTCCTGAATTATAGCTCCTTCACAGTGGTAACATCCCCAGCAAAGCCTGAATCTTATCGCTCCAGAGCGGCATGAGAAGCTCTCCGTTTTAGATCTGTGAAGCCAAACAGTTTTGGTTGCCAACCTCAGGGCCCACTGCACATCAGTGAGTGAGTGCAGTGCAACAGAGCTGCCATCCTGCAGTCTGTGAAAGCTTCAGCAGCCCTTGTTGTTCCATGCCAAAGTGCTGTGTAGTGATGTGAAGGATGTTTTGTTTAGAAAATATTTTTAGCAATGGCATATTGTGGACATTCATCAATTGTTAAACACCCATCAGTTTCAATGTGTTCACCGCCAAATGTGGCTGTGTGCACCATTAACTACTGGTGCACCATATAAGACATTAGTAAAGTGTTCCGTGATTGGTTCTTCTCCTACTGGAAATTAGGGTGTTTTTAATGCAAATGTCTGGTGTTGTTGCACAGCACATTAGAATTTAGGGTAGAGGCAAATTGACCGTGGGTCAGTTTTCAAAATACTTCTTGTGATCCTGTCCGTTCTATGTGTTTTGACAGTGATATTTCCTTCTGGAGTGTTGGATTCAAACAGAGCCAATCCAAGTCATTACAACAGTGTATTAGATGGCAGTTTGGAAACAAGATACAAGTGTAAAACTTAAATTACCCTCTGCATCTGGAGCTGCTGAGTGGTTTTTACACATTAATTATAGCAATTAGCAGCATTCAGACAAAACGATTTGTCCTGTTTAACTGTATATCTGTCTTTAGGTACCATTGTTAGAATGTTCTGGAGTTGCTTTATGAGAAAAGTTATATTTAGGTTTAATAGATATATATTGTATTTCTGTCCTCCAGCAGCCGTGGCCTGCATTTGCTGAGGTGATAGTGTCCCAGTTTGCAGCATGTTGCAGAGTAAAGTTGAGCATTTAGGTTTAGGTATCAGATCGAATGGGCTATTGTTGTTTTTTTCAATGTTTGATCCTAAAAAGTTTGACCAATATTGGACTGATTATTACTTATTTACCTAAAAGAGTGCTGGTGCACATATTACAAATTCAAAGATGCTAATAAATGGGAACTTGTATTAACAAACAGCAACCCATTAAGTTAGCTCATTTAGTGAAAAGGGTCTGACATGAAAAATCCCCGAATAAACTTTTTTTTCCCCGAGCTTTTTAAAACATTGGTTTCTCGGAAAACCTGAGAGTGAGCTGTAACTGCTGACTATGATGGATGAGCTCGCCCTCAAAATGACAAGACCTATTGTATTTAATAGGGCAGGAGCACAAAGAATTCTTGTGGGAAAGAAATAAAGGGTCACAGAAAATTGCATTGTAGCCCACCCTGCTCATAAGTCCACTGTATGGAACATTTAAAGAAAGGGAAAAGCTGGCAAGATGAGGAAAAGGGGAAATAAGGTCAATTAAATCTTTGTAATTTGACTCAAAGGATTGTTTTTTTCAAGGGTATTTGAAGTGCTCATTTGAGACACGAGGCGTACAAGAGTTTAAGTCGTGCCCAGACTCACAGGCAGCTGTACTGGTTCCATAGTTCCTCTGAATATGTCTTTGTGAGATTTCAGCCGCTCTCGAGTTTCACATCGGTATAGCTTCTCCTGTCTTTGTCCCCACAATCATATTGGTCAGTCAGCATTGAACACCTAATGCCCCGACTAGTGTTTCAAAGAGGAGGGCAGTTGTCTCCAATATGTAAACTACCCAGGCTTCTGTCTGATGCTGTGTTGTGGCCCTGACCTCACAGTCTCCAGCTCCCTTTGATATTTCCTGAGTCAAGTCTTTTCTACTGTGACCAATAGGGGAAGCACATATGGGCAAGATGATTAGGCAGCCGTTCTTTAAACAGGGAGCAAATGTGTTCTTATGAACAATTAATGGAACTCACGGTCTTTAAAAAATAACTAGCTACAATTCGTGCTAGTCTGTGTCTTCTGGCTGTGTTCCAGGTTGAGCTGACTCAGTGCCAAAAAGGTGTCAGGGTTTTGCTTGTGCCAGTGTTCCGAGAGCATATCTGGGAATCAATGAAATAGGTCATAAGTTAAAGGAGAGTAATATTACAGATTTTAGAGGAATCATTGAATGAGGTCTAGGGTGATATGGTCCAAAAGCCATATCTTATCGTCCTATGAAATAGTAACAAGAGACAGAAGCCATATATTCCATATCACACAAATATTCCAATTTGAATAATACACATGTAAGTGTAAAATGTATGTATGTATGTCACATATATTTATGCTAAACTTAGCCGTACCTTTTTGCCTCTACTACTCATTCTGAAGTGACGGCTAATATTGTAAAAAAACAGTTTCTTGTCTCGTTAGACAAACAGACGGACTTCAGTGAAAATGTATTTGGTTGTCCACTTTTCTTATCTTTGACTACCTCATTTTTACTGAAGGGTTGGAAGCTCAAACAAAGTACAAAGAGAAACAATGAAGTCGAGAGGAAAACACCTCCTCACTGGACTGGGCCATCTATTGGGGAACTACAGAGATTGCAGGGAAAAGGCAAAATGACAGAAGTCTAATGATAATATAATTAAATGATAACATTTGGACAGGTAGGGCGGCTCAGATTAAAAAGCCTAACAATTGGATCTGGTCCCCGCACCATAGTGTGCCCATACCTGGTTTATATTGATAGGGACTGATCTGCAGAAGCCTAAAGCTCTAGTTGTTTTTTGTAGAGCCAGACATTAGAGAGAGCAATAAAATGACAAATAGCTCTATTATGTCAAACCTTTATCTAGTTTTCGCTTAATTTAAACACTTCAGCTGCCTTCAAACATTTAATGTAAAGACTAAAGAAACCATTATCAGTGCCTCTGTTTAAGTTGAAGAGGCTTTCCTCTCATTTATATCATTTCCACTTTGTAAAACACTTCCAGACTGAAGTTCTCCAAGTGCTCTCTAGCTCCTCTAGATTGGAAGTCTGGCCCACTTCTAAGTAGGATCCTCCCCAGCATCAATATGCCATACTTGTAAATGCATTTGCCAATTGCAAGTTATATTATCTGTCAAAGGCATAGTTTTATGAAGGCAGTAACCCTGCAGCATCATTCTGGCATCACACCACACTTGCTCACGACAGCAATTGATTCCTCCTGACAGCGCAGCTAATAATAACAAACCAAAAGCTGAAAACAATTAAATATTAATAATAATGGAACTGAAAAGGGTTTTATCTCATCTGAATCAGATTGTTCACTTGCCACATGCCATAACAACATAAATATGTGGTGTGAAAGGACAATTAAAACGTGTATTTTCCACAATAAAATACAAGCAGCATTCATAACCATTGAGTAGAAATTCCATATATTTTCATGTTCTGGGCTTTTTGTGGTTTGGAGTTGGCCCAAAGACTGCACCTCCTGTTATAACAAAAGGGAGTGGTATCTTCACACCACTGATTCATCCAGTGACTGCCTTTCCCCCTTTTCCATTTATGGTCATATAAACGATGTACACAGAGTCAGTTCATTACAGTAATATATTTAAAAATGTTAAATTTACAGATACATTTTTTTATTATTCAGTTTGCACAGTATGGTTGACTTGAACCTGCCGGGATGTAGAGGTGGATGTACTGCAGACTATAATGTTTTTGAATTCCTCCATTTCCTATTTGCTCACGTCTTGTAAATTTCACATTAGTTAATCTCTCCAATCAACGGTGCTGCAGATCATGCTCTTAAATGGAGACGCTGAGACACTTTAAATGAAAACCGCGGTGCAGAATGTCAACTGAAGCCTCCTCAGTCAGAACGACACGAAGCAGCCATTTGCGCTGTCCAGGGTGCTTAAATGTATTTACGAACAACTACGCGGCGCTGTCCGTGGTGCTGAACTGTCCTTACTGGCAACAACTCAACGTCAATCACAGCACAGAATCCTCCTAACAAACCTGGCACATAGTGAAGACACTGCAGCTTCCTGTCCTCCTGAGTGGGGTTTCTTATCCAAGTGTCATACTACCACTTGTAATCCACAAGAGGGAGGTAATTACAGTGGGATGTGTCATTACACTGTTGGCCCTGGTGCCTCAGGACCGATATCGACTTCTAAACCAGACGCGGACGCCGAAGGACGATCTGCATCACACGAAGTTTAATGTGATAATCATAATTTAAGCGGTGATGTAAAACGCACACGCAGGAAGGAGATCATCGCTGTAACTTAAGGGGAGTTTTAAATGACGGTCTCAGCCCCTGACAATGCTGACATTTCTCTACTTCCCACTCACCCGCGTGAGTCTTTGCACAAAAAACGAAGGCAATCTGAACGAGTTGCATATTTTTGTATGCGCCGGGCGTAATCTGTTTGACGGAACATGGCAACCGTCCACGCACACGACCAGTCAGGGGGCGAAATAGACAAAACAGACGCAGTGGCAAGAGACAACGTTCACGCAGGTTACTTTTTGCGTATACGCTGCCCGGGATAATGTACATTTTAGTGACATTTTTGCACAAAGTTCATTTGGTTTGTTTTTTTGACGTATGACTTCCAGTGCACGCAGTTTAAACCCAGAGGTAGTGAACTGATAGTTCCTGTTGACTGAGTGACACAAACATCGGGAAAAGGAAAGAAGTCGAATACGTGGCACACGAGCCCAATGTAAAGGTACCGCCACAAACACTTCCACCTGGGTTAAACACAAAAGTACGAACTGCACACTACATGTATGTACGGGAGGATCACGACAGTGACCAGTCTGACATAGTTACGGTCATCTCTTACCTTAGAGGGACGACAGAGTATCCATTGCGTTAGCACCGCCGGCTCGGTACAATTCCGTTTCCTTGGTCCAAGGCGACAGCGGCTCTCTGTGCATTTATCCACTAATCCAGCAGAGGAGCTCCGACATATTGTCTCCTTTAGCACACTTAGGTTGGATGGAATTTGCCCTTTATCCCCTCCCTGTCCTTCCAAATGAAGCCAAACTGCGCAGATATGTTAAACAGTTTCCTACACGGACGTGGCTGCAGCTGTAGCTTCAGGGCAGGTTTCTAGTCCGGAGTGTTGCTCCATGACACTGGCGCTTCCATCTGCTCTCCCCGCGGTGCATCAGCGGCGCGTGATTACATCTCAGAGAAAAGCACAGTATGTGCCGTGTTGAATGCGCCTCTGTTTTCCGTCTCCTCGACGCTTTTGACAGTCGACAATTCTGGAGAGAGACGAAATGATACACGTTGAAAGTGTGTTGGTCGGTTGTTTAGAAAGCTCAAAGTGTCCGCTCGTGTGTCCGGCAGCCTGTACCGGATGTGAGGACTGCGCAATCGACAGACCG